TCAACAGTTGGGTTTGAGGTTCTCCCACAGATTCTTTCTGCCACCTGTGCCAATGGAGATCACTAACAGCCTTTTTTCCAGCATGACCAGATCAGCTGTAGCCCAAACTCAATCACATTCATGCAAAGTTTTTTATCCTGAAAACAAGATGTGTCTTAGCAGGTTATATTTTTTCTTTACTTATCACCACACGCTTTCTAACACAGAGAACCTTTGAGAAATTCATTTCCATCTGAAAACAAACAAGGGCTGAAACAGTTTACAAAGGAACTCATCTTTCAAGGACATTTCCTTTGAAATTGCACAATGTGGCTCTTAGCAAGGAAAATAAATAAAACTTAATCCCTCTGCATTCCAGCTGGCAGTTTTTCCCCAAGCTCGAAGCTAACAATCAACTTTAAGAAAACTCAGATGATGGTCAATTAAGGAACTGTATATCATTCCATTTATAAATACAAGACACCTATCCAATTGATTATTTTGATCCAATGAAGTCAGTTTTACATTTTTAATTCCTAAGAGTTAAATAATTGATCCACAGGGCAGTCCTAGGCCTTTCACATCTGCTGCTGTAAAGTTCTGCAGATTGTCTGGTCCTTGGCTGTGGTATTAGCTGAGTGTTTCAGCTACCAGATTTATTTAAGGATGTGGACTGTAAATCTCCAGGAAATGGCAACCACTGGGAAAATTTGTGTCTAATTACTTGTAGCACAAAGAAATCTTTTTTTTTCTTCTTTTTGTTTTAATTTGGGTTGGTTATGTATAGAAATTGTTTTTCTAAATCTTCTCTCTTTAACCAGGATGGTCACCTTCAGGTTTGTGTGTGTGCCAGGATACTCCTCTGAGCATTGTTTAATACACTGCTTCTCCCCTTCCCAACCTTCCTTTTCCTCCTGACTCCATCATCTTCATCCTGGTCATCTGAGAAAAAAGTTTTTTACTCTAAGGGTGGTGAGACACTGGCACAGGTTGTCCAGGGATGTGGTGGCTGTCCCAACCCTGGCAGTGGCCAAGACCAGGTTGGATGAAACCTTGAGCAACCTGATCTAGTGAGGAGGTGTCCCTGCCCAGGGCAGGGGGTTGGGACTAGATGATCTGTAAGGTCCATTCCAACCCTTCAATTCTATGATTCTATGATCTCTGCCACTGAACAGAAGACAGAACCTTCTGGAAAGCAACCTATGGGTTTTTGTGAAGTTGTAGAGAGCTCACCAAGTTTAGCAAGTAATCTTTTTCTCTCAAAGACAGTGTTTCCTTTCAAGAGAATACACATACCTTAGAGCCACAGAATATATTTGCTGAGTGGTTTATCAGCTGAATCCTAACTTCTTTTATGAAAACAGATAGAATTTCCCTGGCCAGAGTCTTCACACTGGTACTTGGTGTCCCCAGGCACAGCTAAACTGCTAGGAAAGAAGTCATCACATCTCTAACCTGGGACTCCAGCAGGATGCCAGTAAGTAAAGTATCCATAGTCCAAAGAAACAGACATTGTCAAAAAGAAAACTGGTATCTTTGTGGTTTGGGGCTGTGAACTGTGACCCTGAATGTGATTACACATGCACAGCACAAAAATGGGGATCAGCAATACTGCTAAAAGAAGCATTGTAACACTGAGAAAAATTGACTTTAAAGCTGCATTTACTGACAGCTTCATGCCAGCAAAGCCAAGGAGATTAGTAGGGAAATGTATTTGTCAATCTTTCCCACAAATGTTGTTGTGGGCAACATCACAGGCTTGGGATGAGCAATCCTTACTGGACAGACTTAGCTAAAGCAACAGCTCCAGGCACTGCAGAGACTGAGAAGCTGAAAAATTAAAGGTCACTTCATACAAATTTAACATGGGGAAGGAAAAAAGCCAGCACCAATCCCCTGGTTGCTTCCACAGCTCCTCAGAGCAGTGTAAACCCACAGCAGTCCATGCATTGCTCCTACTCAAGACCTTCCAACCCTGTGATCACCATGCTGTGCCACCAAGTGTTTTCTGCCCTTTGCTCTTCTGACCCAAACGAAATCCAGTAACATCAGATTCACTCCCATTTGGTTACTTTCATTCTGATTGCTTCCCAACAGCATAACAGGCTTCAAACAGCCAGCTCCCCCCAAAAGTGGTTTGGTTTTTTAGACACTGATATAAATGTTTTTGTGTTTATTTGTCAGAGATAATTCAAATTTTGAACCAACTGAATTCAAACTCCTCACCTGGCCCTGCCAGGAAAAACATACAAATCTGTTCTCAAACATGCAGATAGTTTAAGCCCAAATTTTGGTCTATATTAGAAAAAGATTGAGACAGCTTCGAAATTGAATTTAATCAGGAAAAAGAGGATTCTGAATGAAGAGATTTTCCCACGCTGGAAAACTTTGTGCATTTCAAGAACTCTCGGCCTTGGCATAAAATGAAGTGTTTCACTAGGAATGAGGAAGGAAATAGATTTCTCTGTTGCAAAACCACCAAAAGCCAAGGGAGCTGAGAGCAATGCAGTTCAAACCAAGGTTTTCAAATCAAACTCCTCAACACAGACTTGTCTGCTCTTCTCATGGAGTCACCTCACCTCATGTAACACCTTCCCCTTAGCTCAGAGCAATGGACTCAGTGAATCAGCAGTGCTGGGATACCTGATAGGACTGACTAGACACACACCACCACACCATGTGATCCTATTTCCAACAAAAACCCAACCAGCCATAAAATTCCCAACTGTTCCCATTATATCACCTAGCTGGAAGCATCTTTTGGAGTCCAAATGTTCATCAATCACACCACCATCATGAGTCCACATGAAAACGGTTTCCAGCCTCAGCCTACAGTTACACCCTGATCATAAACACTCAAAAAGCATTTTTTTCCCATTCACTCATACACAGCTGCCGAGAAAATCAACTTAAAGCAGTGTCCAAGAGGGAGTTCTGCACCAGGCAGAGCTCAGAGGTCAGGAGTGTTCACCCAGATACTCTACAGACATTGAGACAGACAGTTCATTTCATTCCTTACCTCCCTGCTCCCCCAGAGCAGCTTCCCCCTCTTCCTCCTGTTCCTCTTCAAGTTTATTTCTTCTGTAAGAACTAACTTGGCCTGAGTTTTGGCAGTTTTCACTTCATCCCTGAACTTCCTGACCTGCAAGATATGGCCTGCTTGGCTTATCAGTATTTATTTCCCACCCACCCCTATTCCTTGCAGGCTGATTTTAAAGTTCCTTCTAGAGCTCACTGTCCCTAGTTTTCAGCACATGGTATTCTCTCAGCATTTGTGAGCTGCCAAAAACCAGAAGTGAGGCAAAAAACGAAAACACACACATCACCTCTGTTAAACTTTCTAGTCCAGCAGCTTTTACCAACCAGTTCATTCTGCCTAGAACTCTTTGTAATGGTGTTGGCACCTAAGGAAGGTAATTTCCATCTTTGAAGAACAGCCTTGTCCCTATGAACAAACCTCTCTCCTCTCCTTCCTCTTCTCTCCCTCTTTAAAATACCCTCCTTGCAGCACAAACAGTGCACCACAGCTGTTCTCATCCCACCACACACCTCTTGCCAGGATGCAGGACTCTAAGGCTGTCTGAGCCTCCACATCTTCCACCTTCTCCTGAACGCAAGAGTTGCTTCTGCTTCACTCCACTGGGAATATGCAGCATCGTTTCTCCTAAAAGCACCTACCTTCCTGGTCTGTCAGGCTCCTTCCCAGTGCCACATCTGTGTTTCCAACTTGCAGTGCTGGCAGAGTGTGTTTGTGTGGCCTGTTGTTTCACAACGAGCAGTCTCCAGGTGCATTTAGTGATGGTGCTGTAAATCCATAGTCCTGTCCTATAGCTTTCACATTACCAATTAGTTTAGGTTATAAATTAAAAGATTCATTGCCAAGAAATCTGTCAGGCTGAGAAAAAGCTTCTCGGCATAAGCAGTGAAGGCAAACCTTGGGGTTTTGTTACTTTTTCAACACCACTGCCTGTGTTTATGAACATGATGATGTGAGTGTGGGGTAGCAATGAACTGGAGTTGATGATGCCTGTGATGCCTTTCTGCCCTGCCTATCACCTCATGTGATACTGCAGGTGAGCACAAGTTCCTGTCCCTTCCCTGTAGGTATCCATGTAGCACTCACAACCCTCTCCAAACTCCCTCCCACAAGGACTGACCAAGCCTGGCTCTTCTATCTCTTCCCAGTCACTTGTTCCCTACCATGGAAGGGAGGTGATCTTATACAAAGGAAAAGTTTCCCATCACTAGTGTGATGAGCTTCTGGGATCATTTTTCCACATCCAGGGACAGCAAGCTGAGTTTAGTAGGGTATCCCTCAAAACCTCATTCTGGAATTGAGGGAAAGTTGTTGTACCACCATACTAAGGAGCATCCCACAACAGTTATGCCCAGAAAAACCCCCATTTCCTGCCTCCACACACTTCTAAGTGTGGCTGGAATGAAAACAGCCTAAATTATTGAGATTTAAAGCTTGGACACATACAAAACATCTTTTTGAGAAAGATTCAGTTCCACAGAAATGCAGGTATGAAGAGCAGGATTCAGACCACTCATTGATAGGAGTGAAGAGTTCACGAAAAATTTCTCAACACTTATTTTTCTCTTCCCCAAACACACTGAGCTGTTAATTAGAGCTTTGGAATGATCAGTGAAACATATAGTACATCCAAATTTCCAATGCAAGAAAACAGAATTGAGATAGAGAATCAGAGGATAGTGCAACTGATGTTCCCATCCTGTCAGGTGAGAAGGAAATAGGTTTGGGGTCTGTTTGGGGCTTGGTAGTGCAGGCACAGCCTCCAGGAGCCAATGTACCTTCGTGTTCTCCACTGCCCAAGAGCTGGTGGGAAGAACCAGGGGAGGTCCAGAGGTACCACCAGGACACACAGCACTGAAATGGAAATGGGGGAGAGCACATGCACAGGGAGTTCCACTGATCAGAGGCTACTACTGCAAAACAGCCTCTCAACACATAACTTAACTCATGGAATTTAGGTGCAAGAATCACATAACCAGGTGTAAAAATCTTCAAATGTAATTTATTAAGACATTCAGCTATGTCTGTCAGTCTACATCCAAATTTACTACTAAAAATAAAATAGTATCACATTTCACATTAGGAATACCGACTTTGAAAAACACTTGAGTCAAGCCTATCGTATAAATAAGTGACTAATTTCTCTTCATATCAAAATTCACATAAAAAAATTGCCTGCCCCCTACTCCCACCTATGCCCCCACCCCAGTCCCTTGTCCTACTTGAAGCCATGATGAATGTAAAAATTTAAGTATGGACATGTCCTTGTCAATGAAAAAAAAAGGTGCAAACCTATTAACAGCTTTAAAAGTGGCATTTGCGGAGTCTGATCATACACAATAATGTACTCATTCCCAAAGTGCAAATATCGCCAGAGTTTAATACTGTTTTAATTCAGCTGCAAGGATTAAACATTACACAGCACAGTACTGCAAGGACTCTATCCGTGCCCTAAAACTCATCCCACTTTCCTCCCACACATGGTAGCAGAGATCAAAGTGTTCATTAGAGCTTTAGTTTACTTCATGCAGCCCAGACTGTGCCCATGGTTAGCAAAAGTTTCATATACATCAAAATATTGACGACTCCATCATAAAAGTCAAGAGTCACTATAGATTACATGAATTCAAATGCAACTGCCCCACCAAGAACACCCAAAGCATACACAGGACGTATTAAGAGTGCTTCCATCTTTTGGTACAATCACTGCTGTTACATCTGTTGATTTTTGCTCACGTGCCATAAAAAAATGCTGTCAGCAATCAAAGCTGCACGTCAGAGACTGGCAACTCATGGCCTTTAACCTCAGGACCCTGGGACATGGCTGTATGCAACACCCTCTTCCAGACCAAAACCAAACCAGGGTTGTGTCTGTCTGGCTACAGCCTCTCACAGACCTCTCGCTCCTCTCACCCCTCACCTACGTCTTGAAAACACTCTCACTGCAATTTATTGCCAGACATCCTTCCTATGCCCACAGTTCAGAGAGCTTCTGGAGTCATCTCTACTACATCTCACTGGAGTTACCACTACCAAGCAGCCCATAAAAATCAGCATGGGAGATTACATTTTTGACCAGCTTTAATAGCTACACTTCTTTCACAGCTGTGGAAGGACTGGTTTTCTTCTGAGTCAAACGTGGATCTCTGAAATGTGTTTGCTCCCGCGTCATCCTCAGTCACCTCAGAGCTGGACACAAATGCCCAGATCTTGGGCAGGACACCCCTCTGGGGCTGCAAGCAGTTCTGCAGCACAAGCTGCTCCCTGGCTGGTCTCACAGGGGCCTGTGTCACTGTCCATGCTGTGAGACCCTCCCGGATGGGCAGAGGCCTCCGGGCTGTCGTGTCCATCAGCAGCCTGTCCCTTGTCCCTGCTCGGGCTGTCTCTCACACTTGGCCTATTGTCACAGTCAACACCAGGAGGCTCAGCTGCATCTCCAGGCCTGGTGTTTCGCTCTGCGCTAGGATTTGGCTGCTGCACTGGCTCTGGTCCCAGTCCTGGTATCTGTGAAGGGCTCTTCAGTTGGCAGTGGCACAGAGGGCAGGTTTCTTGCACATACAGCCATTTTTTAAGACAACCCGCATGAAAAAAATGGCTACATGGTGTGATTACAGCAGTTTTCATATCCTGAAAGGCACAAAAAAAGAAAGATGTTATTTGTCATCCCATTCTTTTCCTCTCAGCTCACATATCTAATGAGTACACCAGCCACAGAGCAGTCAGAAGCAGTCCACAGGCAAGGCAGAGAATGTTCCTTCCTTGACACCAACAAGCCTCCGTAAGAGGAGTAGCTGTGGGGGCTCAGCCTGGACAAAAGGAGCCTCAGGGGAGACCTTATCACTCTCTACAACTCCCTGAAAGGAGCCTGTAGCCAGGTGGGGGTCAGGCTCTTCTCCCAAGCAACTAGCGACAGGACAAGAGGAAATGGTCTCAAGCTGCACCAGGGCAGGGTCAGGTTGGACATGTGGAAGAATTTCTTCACTGGAAGGATGGTCAGGCATTGGAACAGACTGTCCAGGGAGGTGGTGGAGTCACCAACCCTGGAGGTGTTCAGGAAATGACTGGACATGGCAGTCTAGTTGACAAGGCAGTGATGGGTCACAGGTTGGATGTGATGATCTGAGATGTCTTTTCCGACCTTAATGATTCTATGATACACATACAATTCCAACACATACTGGGTCTGGATTTTTGTATTATAGGCATTAGAAATTAGGCAAAAAAACCTTTGTTTATATAGTAATATTAAATACAACCTTTTCAGGATGAGAGTCACAGGGTTAGTTGGCTCAAGAAACAATTGTGCAAGTCAAAACAGGACACTTGTAGATACAACACATAACAACAACACACCAGAAATGAAGTAACACCCTGAACTCTGTCAGCTGAGACCCACGTGGTACTAGTCTGGTGTTTAAAAACACACAAGTCATAAAAGTCATTCAATCTGGCAGTTTTACTCTTCAGAGAATTTATATCAGGTTTGGAGTCAATCCAATTGCACTCTAACTGCACACCCCTAATCTTACTGCAATTCTTTCACTGTCACACAACTACAATTTCTATCCAAGAGTTAAGAGACTCTGGAGCTAGAAGTGTGATAAATATATTACTTTCAGTGTTAATGTCTAAGGTCCCTACATCTGCTGGGTTATGTCAGCAAGACCCTTAACCTTTTGCTAATTAGGTTTCTGTTACAAAACTGACATAGCACATGAAGCAGTGATGTCTGGAGAGACTGAGCTGCTTCTACAGAACAATAACAAATCAGCTACTGAGGACACATTATCTTTCATTAACAAAATCTTCCACTAATGCAGAAAGGGCACGTTTGCTGCTATTACTGAGACCAGCTCAAGCCAAACATGAGAGGTGTCAAAGCAGCTCAAAGACACAGTTTGTTGTGTAACTGGAGAAAAACAAGTGACAGTTTAAACACATCCAAGCTATCCATTCATAAAACTATCTCAGTAACAGCATTCCAACCCAACTTACACAAAGCAGAAAACTGGGTAATTCCAGTAACTTACTGAGCACAGTATTATTCATCAAACGTAGCTCAAGTAACTGTTTTACTAGTTGCAGACTGAACTCGACAGTCTGAAGAGATTTTAATTCAAGCCAATCACTGGACACTTCCATTCTTACCTGGTAGCAGATGGCACAGATATCATTGTGTTGCTCCAACTGCTCTTTGGTGGCCACGGGTAGCGATTTGATCTTATTCACAGCGTCTCTGCGAAGAAGGAAACTTTTCCAGCCCAGCTGTGCCCTCAGCCACACGTTGTAATAGGAGTGGATGAAGATGATGACAGAGCCCATCACAGTCCACTCCCCAAAGATGGTCTCGGAGACGCCGTACGCCACCACGCACAGCGCGACCAGGAACTCCAGCAGTCGGTAAGTGCCGTTTACGTAATAAATCACATCATCCATGTTTTCCACTGGTTCTTTCCTGAACTCCTCCACCATAAACAAAACATAAATGAAGAGTGTCCCGAGCACCTGTAACACAGTGCAAGACCATGAAGTCAGCATTCAGTTCTGAACTGGAGCTAGAGTTGTTCAGCATGGCACATCAAGCTCTGTCCACACATCACCCCCAAAGTGGACAGAGGGCAGGCAAGCCCCAAAGTAGTAAAATTGTTGCTGAACTTTCTGACAAAAAAAAGTCACTTTCATGCAGAACATTTAAGCTTGCTCTCAAGTACTTTCCCTTCTGTGCTTCCCTGATGCAGAACACAGCTGAGTTGATTAAACAAAAGTGCTGAGCATCATGAGGGGCAATTTTATAGATTTAATAATTAAAAACTCAAGTTATAACAACTACTCATAGTACAAAACATTTCCTGTATTTACACTACTGTGTTTTGAACATCAAATTGCTTTCAGAGAGCTATAGCTAAGTAACAACCCATACATGAGTACTCTGGGAAAAAACCTTTTTACTATGATAGTTACACCCTCAGAAGCTTTCTGGCTTTACACTTGGAATAGACTTCCATTCACCTCTGTTCTCAGCCTGCCCCAAGAGTTCCTTAGCCTTAGATACAGGATAAAGAAAGACATTTTATATCCTCTCTTGCAATTCTGCCCTTCTATCATCTCTGTTCTTTTCTCGTCATCCCCCCTTAGAGTAAGAGGATCACAGTTAATGCAGGGCTTCACAGGGCTAATGTTCTTACCTGAAGAGAGGTTAGAATACTGCTGGAGATAATGATCAGCAGCCAGAAATCCATGTGGAAAAACTGACAAATCATGTAGGCCATGTACGCAGGGAACACGAGTAAGAACAGACAGAGGCTGACAGCTCGGAAGTGCTTCCACAGGCTCCTGCAAACAACACAATAGGGTTTTATTTTTCAAGTCAGATTCGAGCCCTGCAATAAGAATAGCTGACTGCTGGATGTAGGCACGTCAGATGTTTGCTCAAGGCTTTAACTTGTTGAAAGGAGTTTCTATTTCACTTGGGCACAGTCTCATTCCCAGCTTGCACACAGGCCCACGACAGCTATGGAAAGTTCCCTCTCGTCTGACCTTTGCTGTTTTCAATCAAAAGACAAAGATTATGGACAAAATTTCACCTACAGTAATTGCCATAATGGATCAAGTCAGTGGTTAGACAAATGAAGTACCAGAGATACTGAATGTTTCAGATGAAAGCCCATTAAAATAAATTATTAAACATGTAACTGTTTGTACAGTTCTCTAAATAAACAATTATATAATTCTTGCAGCTCTTATGCATCTTTTTGCTAATATATGTGGGGCAGAGCTATTTCCTTTCATCACAAGCTTTAACCTTGCTGCCTTTAAAAGTACATTCCCCAACTCAAGGATGACAAAAGAAATGCAGCAGGAGCTGAACATTCATCTCTGCCAGTCCTTACGCTGCTCTTGCCATTTACTTCTTCCTAATCTCCTCCCCAACCTAACCACACCATCAATCTTTTTACACTCACCCATTTGTGAAGGCTTTCAGAATACCTCCAGTAATTTACTGTACTACCTCTACTTGTTCCTCAGGTTGGATTTTAACCTCATTTAGCTCCGGAAATGAGGTACAGACAAAGTGAAAGTACTGGGGGGACAGGACAGCAGCACAAACTGCTTCATTTAATACAGTCTGAAGAAACATCAGAGCTCTACTGGAAGGTTTGCAATCCTGTGTCTGTGGGTGAGGGAGAAAAGGAGAGCTGAAGTGGAATTTATCCTGATCCTAGCTGATTTAGAACTGCCTGGGAGATTTGGCAGAGGGGTTAAAACTCACTGTCACCACAGACTGCTTGTTTAAGCTGGGCTGATGCTCATATCCTGGCTCTACTCCCTTTTCCTCTGTTGCTATATTGGAAGCTAAGGTTGCTGCAGGCACAACACACTGGCTACAAGTAGCCTCTAAGCTAAACAAACTCTCTACACATAAACAAACCTTTGCTGTTCATTTCTTCACTTACAGATTACAGAAAGGGAAAAGACAAGAACAATTAACAAGGATACAAACAGAGAACACCAGATACCACCAATCCAGCTCTCCAAAACACAAATTAAACTGAACAATCCCACATGATCAGAACATGTGGGACACTAATGAAAACCTTCCACCTCTTTCTTTGTGCCAGTAAACCCTATCATTTTGGGATCACAGCCTCACCAAAAAAAAAAAAATAGGTTTTACAGTATCTAACACAAGGTCACTCCTAGAAACTTCCCACCCTCCACAGCTGTGTGAGACCACTGCTTTAGAGGGAAACCCACCCAGCTGCAGAGGAGGTTAGGAAAAACAATTCTGCAAATCCACACAATGGAGTGTGGGTGGGGAGAGCACAGTCCTGGATTTGCTTAACTGAGACCACAGCACACTGACACTCTTGCTAAGGAGAGTAACCAGTGAGCAGTGTTACACAGGGAGTGGGCAGACACAGCTGCAGGGCAGTGTGGTCTCGCACAGTCTGGATGGACACAGTCCTGAGCAGGAGCAGCTGACCAAAGTCCCTCCATGTTTGCCAGCACAGAGCACGGAGAAAACTATTAGTGTGTGTCCTTGAGGTAGTAAGAGAGAGAGGGAAAAGCTACAGAATATAAGACTAGAAATGAAAACAGCATACAGAAAAAACAGGGTAACTTTACAAGCTACTAAAAGCCATCAATTACTAGTTTATCACCTCCTAAAAGAGCATTGAGTAACTTTCAGTTTAGGAAAATAGTCTCTTACTTGTCCCTCGAGGCGCCCAATGCCAAGACAATGGGATCAGCAATTTCCAGCATGGACTGAAGTATGGATGCCACCACAATGAAAAGAATAATACTGAGCAGGAACGCCCGATGCACAACTTGGAGCTCAATCAAACCTGTCTGCACAGCCAGGATCAGGAGGGTGACTCCTTCTGTCATTCCCCTGCAGATCAACACAGTCAAAGGGACAAACAATCACATCTGGTTCAAAAGTACATCTAGAAACACCAGGAAATAAGCTCCTGTTTCTATCACAGCCTTTCAAACGTCACTGGTTTTAGGTTTCACTGATGTCCCTGCTAAGGCTTTAACCAGAGAGGGAAGTTTTCAGAAACACTGAAGTGCTGGGGTTAGGAATTAGCAGATTTCAGAACCGGGTCCTGACTAGCAGTGTGTGGGCTTACATCCACCTCAGACACCACAAAATCCAGCTGTCCTCTTCTTTTTGGCTTGGAACATCAGACTGACTTTACTACCTCTGAGGATCACCAATTGAAATCACTATTTGACACAGTTAATGACATATAACCAAAAGATGCTACTCCTGGGCAGCCCCAATTTATACCATTTTTGCTTCTACCTCTTGAAATCCAAAATGTACCTTTTTTTTGCATATGATCTGAACTTTCTATAGAGTTAAGGGCTGGAGTAACTGAGAAAGGCATTGCCAGATCTAAGATGCCAATTTCATATCAGATAAGTTGGAACAGGCAGTATCTGTATTTTGGCTCTTTCCCAGAGTAATTTACAAGCAATTCATACAGTGCTGTGTTTTAAGCCTCATCGATTAGTAATGCTTCATACATGGCTAGAGGGCAGAGGAGGAAAGGGAAATATGAAGTGTTTACATTATACAAGCATGTCAACGTTTTTCAGTGACTCATGAAAACGAAATCATTAAGACAATCAAACTGTGCAAGTCTAAATCTCAACTAGCAGCCCCGAATCTGTTACAGAAATGAACCACCTCCCAAATAGTCTGTGACAAGTATTTTCACCTTAAAGCCTTTGAATGCACACACAGATTGGCATACAAAAAGCCTGTCAAGGATACCCAAGAGTTCAAAAGTTAAAAAACTGCAATGCCACTTGTATAATTCTGTATGAATCTCTTTTTTTTTCCTTTATAGACCCTAGGTACAACGAAGCAGTTACCTGTTCATGGCAGGATCATTCATGAATGCTCGGTAACCCTGCAAGTAAAACTTGCAGAGAGTCAAAACTCCCAGAGCCACAAAAGAGACTGTGAAGACCAAGCCCAGCAGCGAGTAGGGAGTGCTACAGCATTCGGCAATACTGGGAGGAGAGTGGGAAAAAGAGACAAAAAGAAAAGGTTGATCAATTAAAAGCAATGTGATGAGCTCTCCTCTTGTCCTGTTAACTGCACAAGTTGGTTTTAAGGCAAAATTGGATGGGTTTAAGGAAAATATTACAAGCTCCACACCGGCATTAAACCCTTTGATAAAAGAAAAAAGATGAGATGTATTCCATTACTGCTTTCCAAGTCATAAGCTCATCGCAGCTCCAGCTGAGCTGCACCATCCCTGCGGTGCCCCCAGCTCGGTGCCACACGGTGGCACTGTCCTGCTGGCGTTGGGAGCCACAGGCAATTCCACGGCCACCACGCACCCAGCACACCTGCTGACATTGCAGCCAGCCCCACAAACACTCAGCTAAAGCAGATGGGTTCACTAAGGCACGTTCCCCTTGTACCCAGGATAATGCAAACAAACAGCAAACTAATCAATCCTGTTGGGAGACTGGGGGCTTTTTTGGCAGTGTTCACATCAGGTTCCAGCAGGCAACACCTGTATTTCAAAGGGCTGAGCCAGAAGCAGCAGAATAAGACAGTGAATACTCTCCCTCAGCAGCTTCTTCCCCTCTTTTGCTCCACCAGTGGAGTCGCAAAGATTGAGACCCCAGACTACATCTGGCAATGCTGAGAACAGCTGCATCACTTCAGCTCCCTCACCTTCAGGCTGCTCTTCCACCAGTCCTGGCACCGGGATATTTGGAGCAGCCCAAGGCTCAGAGTTTTGGGTCCCAAAACACTGTACTGCCATGGCAAGGGGGATGCAGTGCACTGTGTGCACCAATGCCAGGTAAAGACACAGCTGTCAGCCAGGGATTACACAGATGTAAAAATTCTTACATACATAATCCAAGGTATACACTGACACCTTCGTTCATTTGAAAAATAAAAATTAAAAAATCTTCATTCATTCCTCAGCACAATCTTATGAGAGCTATGACCATGGTCAAAAACATGCTTAATGAACCATCTGACAAGTGCAGTAGGTCAGTGCTCTGACCACAGAGTTTTGAGGAAGCATATGCTTCAAAAATGAACAAAGATCATCCAAGAGACATTCACATTTTGTCTCTTTTAGTGACTACTTAAACCAGAAACCTCTTTTGAAAGCAATTCACAGCAGAAAATGTTGATGTGTTTACATATACTATTTACAATGCTTCTGGTAAACCTCCAAATTCTGTTTAGCAAGGCAAGGGGGGTTGGAAAAGCTTTTAAATGTTCCTGCAGGTCAAGGTCAGGAGAAACACAGGATTTAAAGCAGATATTTCTGTAGGATATTTGAGGAACTTTAAGTTTTGCTTTAAAATAAATTATCAGAAATCAAGAATTCTGGCTTTCCTGGCTGATGTCCAATGCCTTTTTGTCAGAGTAGTTTCAGGACTCTATTCTTAAACTTATTTCCAGATGATCTACTATGCAACAGTCCCAGAGGAGCTTATGAGCTCAAAGAGAAGCCTGGAGAGCTTTACTATGTTTATGTGTCAAGCAAAAGTTTATAAATTGTCCCAAAGAGCTGAACTCTTCATGGCTTCTCAAAATTCACACCAGTTACAAAGCCATGGAAAAGATTCTGAGAGGAACAACAAGGACAATGAAAGGTACAGAACAGTTTTAAAGAGCAAACAGGCAACAAGAGCTTCCCAGAACAGCCTTAGGCTGCTCTCAGTTTTAAAGAAAATGGTTTGGTCTCCCTGTCTCCTCCCCAACACATGAAATGATGGGAACTGAATGAAACTATAAGGATTCAAACAACTCAAATGGATTTTTCATCATACAGACCAAGCTAAGCTATGAAACCTTTTGCCTCAGGATCTTTCAAATTAATCAAGTGTACATGGGTTAAAGGGCAGAAAGCACAAACTGATGGAAGTTTTTTGAGGGTTACTGAGGTAGTTATTAACCACATCTAGCTAATGCAGCCTGACAGCTGAAGCTGGATATGGGATTGGATGAGTACTAGGAAGTGTCCTGTTTGTCACATTATGTGTGGGTGTCCTTCCAGGTACCCATTTACAGGCTCTGCCAGAAACTGGATACCAGGCAAGATTGGTATCTGGTCTGACCCAGTACAGCCTCTGACCTTATGAAAGTCAGACACAGCTGTTGTGCACATCCCAAATGCTCTCACCTGAATTCCAGCCTCACTGTTTTAAGCAATCATTACACTTACAGGGCACAGATGCAGAATTCCCTCACTTTCATGGAAAAGCACATCTTTTCTTCCACTTTGTTAAACAGCCAGGACCACATTGCTACCTGACCTGACAAGGTACTTCGGCTCCCTCCTAAGGGGGCAGAGACTGTTGGTGGCACTACTGGAGTTCATGTTCTTGAGATGAGTAAGTGTTTACAATTTTTCCACTGTGACAGAGCTGAGAACACTGAGAACATTTACAGAGTTGCTCTGTATTTTTCCAGTTGCAGGGAGAACTTCAGAGGTCAACTGGTATTTCTTCACTCATAGATCATTCATGCAAGTCTGCAAAGCAAGTTCCCTGTTCTGCCGCAGACAGGAGAAGCATAACCATCTGGTGTAGGAATAAGCTCACAAGGAAAAGGATTTTTTCCCCCACCTCTGCTAAGTGCAGTACTCTATTGGAACAAAATTAACACTGCAGCAGAGATGAACAGGAAGAAAAACTTCAGGCAACAACCGTTTAGTTAACAACCAGGTAACATGTCCGTGCCTTTGCATAATGCAGTGTGACGCTGTCAGCAATTTCAATACTATATGCAATAAAATCCTTGGCATTTCTCCTAAATGGTAACTAATTTTGACAGCTTACACTGTGGCACCATAGACAGATACACACAGGGAGGCAGAAATAAGCTCAGCAATTGGAAAATCTGAATGGAAAAACTGTAGTGATGAACAAGTTACTACTCAGAGCAGAACTAAGGATGTTTGGTCCCTGAAGACTATGTCCTATGTTACCTGTGCATGTGTTCAGACAACTGTTAACTCTTTTCTCTCCTTCCCAGTACAACACTATAGATATAACATTATTTGCCTAACTCAGCTCCTGCAACACTCCCAGCTCCCCTCTGCCCTACACTCCTGCTCCCTTTTGTGTGTGAAGACAGGAAAGTACAGAGGTTCCAGCCAGGAGAATCCCTCAAATGTTGCCTTTCAGTAGCAGCATCACCACAGGCCTCTCTCCTTTATCTTATAACCTTTACCCTTTATAAAACTTTAAAACCTATAAAACTTGTAAGTTTTTACAAAGCTTTTAGGAATTTGGTATCTTTCCAATCTTTACACATGTGGACCCGAGCTCTAATTATATCTCTTCCCTCCTCAAAGAACAATTTTGCTTTCTTTGGGAATTCACAGTTCTACTCATGTTGAGTGTTCTGAATGGGATTCATTCCTCTGAAGGACAAGCTTAACAGGGTTTATATACATGGTTGCTGCAGTAAGAACAAATATTTGTTGGGTATCCAAGTGCAATATACATATCTCTGGAAAAACATCAATATTCATTTACAGAAGACAGTCCAGACACAAAACCAGCTACTGCAGACTAGTCAATTACCTGGTCAAGAAGAGGAAGAGGAGCCTCTCTCTGGAGGCAGGCTGGTCCCGTGTGCTGAAATAGGAATAGATCTGAAGAGCAAATAAGACAAGCCAAAACACCATGAAAAGCACTGGGACAACCAGCTGGTTCCACAGAGACATTCCCAACGCCAGGAGACCATACACCTCCACCACCTGGGCAAGACACAAAAAAGAAGTTTGTTGTTGAGTCACAGCCCCTGGAATTTGATAATGAAAGGACAGACAATGATGTTTAATATTTCTTTAATAAGTTTAGGTGTTGAGGCACTGGAACAGGTTGCCTAGAGAGACTGTGGACCTCCCATCCCTGTCAGTGTTCAAGGCCAGAGGGATGAGGACTGTGCCTCCAGTTCATACCAATCCCTCAGACCCTTTGGCCCAGCTTAAGTCACAGCAATGTTGTTTTCTCTGTAGCTACAGCAAAGTCACTGCACACACTAGACACTGAAATGAGCCACACCACTCCAGCACAGTAAATCTGCTTTGCTGACCTGTTTTTAAGGAAAAACTTAATACTTCAGACATTTTATCTTGAAGTATCTCAGAAAGAACAGGTACCCAAGCCACCAAGTGTTTTGAAATTCATGCTGAAGGGTTAGTTCAGAAGACTATGAAGTTCAAATTACTTCTTTTGTACTGCAAAAACTAAGTTACAGTGCAGTCCTAGCTGGACTTAATACAAAAGGAAATCACTCATAACTACTAACTCCTCATCACCTGCTTCCCACAGTGACATACAAGCCACAAAGGCAAGCAAATTTCAGCAAATGCTAAAAAATCTGCCTACTTAGTCTTCCATGACAAACATGAGGGATCTTACACTTACGGGACCTGCTGCAGTATGTGTTGGGACTGATGGACAGCAATATGCTGCTGGCAAGGATGCAGTGCCAAGCTCCTGTGCTTAGCTTTGCACACAGACTTGTGAAGGAAGTGCACCTGCCCTGGGGAGACTCCCCTGGCCTGGGACCAATGCAAGCAATCCTATGCAGCTCCTGGCACAGTGCTCCACCACATCAGTAAAGGGTCATGCTATGCTCATAATGTAGATTCATGACCATGAGTCATTCCTGGCATCTTCTGCTGTAAACAGGCAGCCAAGCTTCTGGGCCTGCTTTTAAATCATACCATTAGGCACAGTCTGATATACACACAGACAGAAATTGCTGCCTTGGTCCACCTGTTAGGGCTGTCTGAGGAAACGCTCCTGGTGTCTAACAGTGTTCACCAAAACTGCAATCAAATCTGGTCTAAAATAGCATTGAACTCATGAACACCAGGATGAAGGCCTCACTGAAAACTGCTGCACAAAGTTGTAGTGATAGAAATATAATCTGGAAAATATTCCAGACAGAACAGCAATACCCTCCTCTGTAATATGCACACTAAGCTTGATTTGTAGCAGAGTTGCAACCAGTTACACAAACACACTACCAGCCAATGCTTTTTTCTGCTCTGTCTCAGGAGCACAGGCAAAGAGCAACAACCTCTTAAAAAAGCCTGTTTTCCTATATATCTTACTCACACACAATTTTTCATTCCAACTCTCTTTCTACACCATGCATTTAGAAAAGCAGCATACAACACTCTTAGAAACCTAGTGCCACATCATAAAGTTTCTGCCACTTTTTCTGTACTCCCAGTGGAAAGAAACTTTATGCCCTCTGCATAAAAAGTCAGGAGAGAGAGTATGATCAGTGTCCAAAGGCCAAGTACAAGGAATAATTCTCTCTCCTGATTATAACACTGTAATACAGCCTGGCTTGGAAAGACTTGAAACACTGGGGTGGGGCAGGAGGGAGAGAAGCAATCCTAGGGATGAGGAGGAGACTTGGGAGCAGCAATATTTAGACTACAATTCTGACAAACAAAACAAAATCAGCAAGGAACAACTATTTCCCCCCTCAACCTGGAATGTGTTTTCAGTTAAAACATTTATAAAATGTTGAAGTGTTTTAAACAAAAGTGTCCAATGAAAAATAGATACAGGTCTCAAAATCACATCCAACCTGAATTTTATTTCAGGAAGCTGAACTGTGCATCCACTCATGCACATGTGAAATGGAAGTGCTGGTTCCAACCTGATGTAAGGCTTTGAGCTGTACAAAGATCTGCAACTGATTTACCCCAAAGGTTACCAATCTCATAAACAGTAAGTATGATTTTCCTATTCTCACTGGAAAACAAGGATAATGAAGCTTTGTCAGTTAGAACCTGAATTAGATTTTAATCAGCAAATCTACAGGCCAGGGGAGGTTTAGGTTGGATATTTGGAAAAATTTCTGTCCCGAAAGGGTCGTCAAGCACTGGCACAGCTGCCCAGGGAAGTGGTGGAGTCACCATCCCTGAAGGGATTTAAAAGACTAAATGTGACACTTAGGGATATGTTTTACTGGTGGCCTTGGCGGTGCTGCGTTAACAGTTGGACTTGATCTCAGAGCTTTTTTCCAACCTAATGGATTCTGTGACCCAATGGACAAGGTCAGACCATGCTAGGTGCTGTACAAAGAAGGACAATCCTGCTCTAAAGACCAACTATATACAAAATAAATAAGCAGACAGCAATGATCAACATGACAGGCTGAGACCTTGGCACACCAGGCACCTACTGCTGCCAAGTTTTTGTTTGCATATGACAGACATGACAACAAATAGGACTTTTTAAGAAAGCTTCGAAAGAGCCAAACAAGTTAGTTTTCAGACTGCTTCTTGACTGAAGAGCAGAAGACAAAAAAACAGTGTCTTGGTTTGAAAAAATGCAGCCAGTGGCTATAGCTGAAACAGTGAATCAGTCAAAAGTCAAGCAAGCATCAACCATTATATACTGAAATATACAGAAGGATGCATACACATATATGAGGTGTGATGTTTCTGCAGCACTGAGAATGTATCTTTTCAACTAAACACATATCAGATGTTAAAGCATTAACAAAATGGACACATGCCAGATCAGTCTCCTCTGTTTCAGCCAACTTTTGTTCAAGGTCTCAGCAATGCCACAGACCTTCTAAATCACTGTGCAAGTCACAAGTCACTAAGTCAGTGATTATTACAGTCCAAATCAGCTTCAGTGTTGCTCACTATTTAACACTACTGCAATTACCAACACTTTTCATACAGAAAGCACTTCTTGAAGTGAACAGCTATGATAATGAATGCACAGGCATTACTTTGCTCACTTAATGAGGCCATAAATAAATTGCATTCTGCCACAATCTTATCTTTTAGCCTGGATTTGGGAAGGAATAATCAAAATCCAAGCAAAGTGGACATGCTCAGCTGGCATGGCTCAGTGTAATTCAGGCTAATATCTTAACTTCTCAGCCATACAAAGCTATCATAAATTAAAAAGAGAAGATGCTATGGATAGGAGCACACTTAGTTGGCTAAGAAAGTATGAGTTAGTACACACAGGTGCACAAGATAGTTGAAGTATTGTTTTATTTCTTTCCTGCAAAAAAGGCTCAGGCCAAGGCAAGTTACATTCCCTGTCTTACCTGGACAAGCTCTCTGTATGCAGATTTTGCCAAGTTATAAGGCACCAGAAGATTTGATGCCAGAAAGTAGAGAACTTCCAAACCAGTGAAAATCATGGCGAATTTGTTAATGATGACGATGGTTTCCAGCGGGACGAGGCAGAGCCGTGCCAGGAGAGGGAGCATGTGCGCAGAGAACAGCCAGATCTGCTTGGTTTTCATGACGCAGGAGCAGAGCGTACACACCACCAGCTGCCCTGGAAACGCGACACAGCATTTCAGAATCAAGCTGATTATCCCCTTCAGGAAAAAGCGTATTTTAATACGTTATCTTTCCAGAACACAGTTATCAACATCCAGCATATTATGATGGTTTTAACTAGAACATATCTGTTACGAAACCAGGCTCCTCTGTGGCTTTGGCTGGGTCACAAAGTTACCCTTTGCGAACTGTGCACAGTGCATGCTTTCACTTCACAGATTAGTGAGCTGTAAACCCCAAACACATGCAGAATCAGATTAATATGAAGTACCAGGAATAAATCATACAGAGGATAACCCAACAAGTCATCCCTCTTTTTCCTCACCATCCCCAGCTCAGCTGAAATCCCATCGCTATCCATATCCACAGCAGTAGCTTTCCTGAAGCTCAGCTATACTACTTAAACAAAAAGAAAAAAAAGAAGAAAAAAAAAAAAAAAAAAGGGAAAAAAAAAAAAAAGGCAATCAAAGGTCCCAAATGGCTTTTAGAGCAATAATATTTATACTGTCAAGAAGAATTACTGGCCAAGAACAGCAATAGGAGAACAGCCAGGTCAGCAGCTGAGACTTCAATAATTTCATAATGCCCCGAGGCAGTTGCTTAAAATTATCACTGAAGCTTGCAAGTGACAGATAATTAACAACTAAATTCTCTTTAATAGATGGCAGGGACACGGGCACATCTACCCCACACTCAAGAGATATGGAGGGTGGTATTTCTAGAGCAGACACCAGCATAACTGCTCCCATCAGAGTCACTGGAAGTTGTATCCTTGATCCTAGAAATGCACACTGCTGGGATAAGACCTCGTTTTGAAGTAAGGTAAAAGTTTACTGCATATTATTTCACCATCTCTGTTAGCTTATAGCCAAAAGCCACAATATGTGGTACTAAACCCACTCATTGCCCTGTTTTGGAACTACCTCAACTGATGTTTGCATTTCCCAACTCTCCCTGAAACCAGGAGCTAGCCTTAGGAAAACACAGGAACCAAATCAGGGCTGGTAACATCTCTAGGTCAGCACGAACTCCATGTGCTCACATAAGCTCACTGACCTTGTAAGCCCTTCTGGATGGGTTGGGGAGGAAAGCTGCCAGAGGAGAAACAGCAGTAGAAAGGTTTTGCTTTCATTCTGCTTGGCTTCCCTACCTAGAGAAGACTTCTGCTTTCAAAATAACTGCAACTGAGCTGAAAGCAAACTCTAATCTCCACTACTTAAGCATACAAAGTTCTCCTTCCTTCACACTGTCCTCTTTCAAGTGGAATTCCTACTGTCAGTTTGCTGGGAGTATTTTTGAATTAGCTGATGTCTTTTCAGCACAAGCACCCTTGCTCTCAGCAAGGCACTATCAGCACACTGGGGCTTATAAGCCTCAGAGAAAGTTACTCTACTCATCTTTTTAGACGTTCAGCAGACTCCAGCTCTGAAGCATTCTCCCTCTGCTTTGTTGTTCTCTGCCCACACACACGTTGCTACAACCCTATTTAAGACACCACCAGCACACTGCTGTGCTGTAATATTCAGGAGCCCTGCAGTCAGCTTGCAAGGATTTCTGCAACTCATGGTAACTAAGGCAACCCAGCTTCACACACAGAGGACACAAACAGCAGCATCCAATATGCTCTTCAGGATTTAGTAGGAGTGTCGTCATCTGGAATAAAATACTGCGACAGCATCACGTAAAACAATCCAGTGCTCCTTGGGATGCCTCTGGAGCTCTCTGATCACAGAACAGCACCTCTGGGTTCAGTCTCATCTCAGTAAACAGCAAAATCTGCTTTCCTCCAACAGCCACGTGGTGAGTGTTAGTCACCCCTCCTCAACTCTGACCTCCCTTCTTTTTTGTTTAAACACCCATCAAAAGTTACTTGCCATGGGAAGGAGAGCTGTACACACCACTGAAAGAAATACATGGAACACTTTCTCTGGAGGTCCCTATCTCCTTCTGAAGTGTGCACCTTGTCAATTTTCAGCCTCTTCAGAAAGGGCCTGAATGTCTCCAATGGCGCTTTTAGTGATGGTACTTCCCATTTTGAACCGCAGTAGCAGCACCTTCATTGAGAACAGCCAATCTCTCTCTGCAGTAAATCAGTTTATCTCTGGGTGGGGCTGTACAGTGTTGGTCATTAACATCACACAGCAGGATCAGCCAGAGAAATTAGTCTGGACCTTGTATCAAATCATAAAACGTTTTTAACACTAGCTATCTGCTAAGACTATCAAATCCAGGTGAATGTTTGCACCCTGTAAACTGAAATGCTGCAGACTGAAAACTGCCAGACACAGCTAATGAACTCAAGGCTGGAATCCCTCTGCAAGACACCAACCAGTTTCCTCTGCTGGGATATGAGGCAATAAGGAAGAAATCTATTGTGTTAAGTTCCTGCCCATTCTTTTCCTTTCCCCAAACCTCCCCAAATACATTAAACACTGCTGACAGGTAGCCAAAGCCTCCCAGCTCGGAAGCTAATGGAAAATGTGCATCAAGAAAGCCTATGCAGCACAGCCACTGTACAAGCCACTTGGAGTAGGGAAATGTCTTTATTTCATTCACAGCTCTAGAAAGCTCATGTTAACAAACTCCTTGGCTACATCATGGACAGTTACTTGGAAAACAGGGTATCCTAAAGTTAATATATAACCCCAGTACTGTGCACAAAAGAAGCAAGTCTTCATGGCAGCATCATTTCCAACGCCATGGAGTAGCTTTGTAATGTTCTCAACTGATGCACTCCCAAATTGGCAGAAGTCATCCAAGGGGCTGTCTCCAAAGACATTCATTTCTTCCACCCAGCACTTGGGAACGTATTATTATCCCTAGTCAACAGTCACCAGACTGAGTTAGATGCAGGGGGAAGAAATGACTATGAGAGCCCATTCAAAAAGTACTAATGAATAAAAGCACTGACAAAGATGAAAGTTGTGAACCAGGTGGTGCAATGTACATCATCGCCTTAATGCTGACCAGAACTTTTAGGAACCAGAGCTGTACCAGTAGCACCATTATTCCCTCATGCACCTGCTTCAGTGCCTTTGTCAGCAGTGCTGCAGCACAGCAGTCTGGCAGAACATGTGAGAACAAGATGGAGCAAAGCACCTGTACATTCATTGTGCTGCAGAGATGACACTGCTCAGTGCAGTGCACTCCTGAGACTGCACTGAATAAACACTCTTGTGGGCAACAAATCTGACAAAACATTTCGTATTTATACAAAGCATGTCAAGCCTCATAGCTCACTTTCACAGGTCTTCCCCAAAGCTGATCTCCTGCCATCAAGACCAAAATGACACTTTCAAGTTGGCTTTACAAGAATAGGGAAGATCAAAAAATAGGGATACTAAGTGTGTCAACACACACAGATGTGCTAGTACACACAATTACAATAAGGGAACACTTTAGTCTGACACTCAGTACAACCCAAACCTATCTTGGATGAAAACACTATGTTTTTCTCACTTATTTTTAATCCTGATGCAGCACAGTGGGTTTGACTCTCGGTTCAGTTGCTGTCTGAGTGTTACCAAATGACACATTTCCTCCTGATCTCCTCCTGTCCAGGCCTGCCTGATGCTTTGAGAAGCTCTCTGAGGGATTCTGCTTTACCATGGGGCCCTGCATTGCACCTGAGGGCGATTCAGAGGACTAATTACAAACACTTTCTCATAGAAACATGCAAAAAGCTTTAGTTGTACTTTCCTGTCATTTGACAAGACAGCAAAATCTATCTAGAAATTCACAAGAGAGAAGAAACTATATCTAAATACTATTTCCTTGAAAATTACCAATGTTATTGCTATAAAAACTACTAAAAGCAAAGACAAATGCCACATTTGAAAGTAGGGATGCAGGCAAACAAGAGATGTGTATATTCTGGCAGAGCTAACATACTGTAAAGTAGTAAACTCATTTCTATGTGCCAGTAGCAGCTGCAAGTAAACAGAAAGCAGCTGAGTTTTGCCAACGGTACGTGGCTGTCAATAATCTGATGAAAACCATAGATCTTAGGGAAAGGAATTAAAGAAGATTTTTCTTCCAAGCTTGTCTCAGGCTTAATTTTAAAATACACATGGTGTGTGTGTTTCAATATCCTCTCAGGAGAACATATGGTATGGTGTAGCAACCTTAACGCTGAATTTATTCTCTTCCAGTCAAGGTTCAGAGGGTAAGAAAACAGTCTAGGCAGTCCAATTCTTTGGGATTTATCTGGGATTTTTAGGTAGAGAAGCCATCTCTGCCATTAATCAAAACGTCGTTTTGACTTGTTATTCCCTTACCTCTTATTAGAAATATCCCTGGGACTCCATAAAACACCAAACCAGTATCCTGTAGTCCCATGCACACACCCACAAATATATTGCACCAGCTTTGTTTAAGAAAATGACAGTGTTCAGCTATAAGGCCAATAAAGATTAATGCATGTACAATACCTGAATTGACAAAACCAATACAAATACATGTTAATATTGAAATTTCTACAGGACTTTCCACATAAATATCATTATAGACAATCCAGTTGTCCTGAATCAGACTGCAAATCTGAGAGTAACATAGAAGCAGAGCAAGACAAACAGGCCTAGAAAATATATCAAAGCTGCAAGTGTGGGGGTATTGGTAATCAGTGGCACAGAAAAAGTCAGGCAGGATACAGCTATCCTCCCATGCCTCTTGCATGTTAATAAGAACCACAGATACTAACAGTAATAATGAGAAACCAAGAGGAAAAACATGCACAGGTTTCAGTGAAGAGAATCAGGCAGAGCTTTCTCCTGCATCCTTAATATTTCAAGCACTTACCTACTAAAGCAGTCATGAAACGATTCATAGAGAGAGGCTCCAAGTACATTGGTCCTTCATAGCCTGATTCCAACTCACTCCTCACATAATCCCTAAAAAAAAAAAAAAAAGAAACCCACAAACTATTATGATCCATCTGATCAGACGAGAAGCAATTTATTCATTCCACACATATGTAACTTCAGTGTATGTCACAGTCAATTAACTAAATTACAAAAAGCAATATTAGCACTACTGTCACAGCAGCTTCACTGATGGAAGGATCCAACTGAGGCATGACTTAGGCGAGAGCAGTATTATCTGTAATTAGACTCACTGGCAGAGCTGTAAAGATCCTTTGGGACGTCCAAGCTGTTCTTCAGAGCGTGGCCTCAAACTGCTTATTGACAAAGCCTCTTAAGCACCATTCCATTTTTAAGCATCCTTATTAAGTGTTCTTCTTCCTAACAATAATTTCTTTTCCCACCAGCTCCATGTGAAAAGAAAACCTGAGAGCTTGACAGAGAGGTCTTCCAATTTAATGTTTATAGTATTTTGCACCTAACAAGTTCTTTGCATTGAATTACAAAAGAGGTCTGAAGAAAAAGCGACAGTCATGGGCTACAGCCAGGAACAGAGCTGCTATGTATCCCTCTTCCCCAGTATGATTTCAAAGTTCAGTTCTATCCTGGGAAATTTGGGGGACCAACTGGACACTCTCAAACTGACAGACTGCTATTGGCAGACACAGTAAGCCTGAAAACCAAACAGGGCATTTGTAATTTCCCTCAGAAAAGGTTGCTGGGAGGGTGAAACCAAAGTGAAAGAAAGGTAAGAACCTGAAGACACTGTGCATTTTCCTGCTGTTGATGATCATCCATGGGTTCTGCCCTCAAGCAGGTTAACACACATTACAGCAACGGAACTCAAATATGAACCTTACACTAAGAGTAAACATTTTGCACTTTGAGAAGGTGATCCTGGAACAGCACAACAGGAATTCTCCAGTGGCTCCTTAATCCCCTGCCACGAGACAGCAGGCAATACTCCTGACATTTCCTACCCAGACCTCGAGCTCATTTTTCTGCCTTGCCCCATGACTTTCCATCTCCCCTGCGGGTTGACTGCAGTTCCACCCTTTTTAGGACACCACCAGCTCTAGCATCAGCAGCATGACTAAACCTGTGCTTGGATCTGGCTGATCCTGTGCAGTCATTCATGTCTACCTGCATCACATCCCA